GCAGGACTTTCCTCATTATGCGGAGATCTGGCCACTTGCGTGAGCATTGACACCACCGATACCGAACGAGTTGACGCTGACCCTTTCAGCGCGGTCTCGAGGCCACTTCTCCGTGTCGACGGGGACTTGAAGATTGCACTCCTTCCAGGGAACTATCATGTATGTTTAGTATGCAACATCTTGTCGTGATGGTCCTGGTCTCAACTAGGAACTTACTGTCAGGATTCGGGGTGTCGAAGTGAATGTTAGGGGGGATTTGACGATGCTCGAGGGCCAGGATCGCTTTGATTAAGCTGGTCAGTCCGGCTGCACCCTCTCCGTGACCAACATTTGGTTTGACCTGATTAAACCACGCGTCAGCGGCCTGAGTCTTTCGCTCTTGATTTCGGGGAATCCTTTCTCACCGAGGTGATGAACATGCCCTGGTCGCCAAAGCACTTGCCCACCGCGGACGTTTCAAGGGGGTCCCCGACGACGGTGCCCGTACCATGACACTCGACGAAAGCAGTCTTTGACAGATCGGAAATGCCAGCTCTCCGATACGTTTGGCGAATGAGCTTTTCCTGAGCAACAGGGCTCGGTATCAACATTCCCTGCGTCCTGCCGTCCGTGTTGACGGCTGTGCCACGAATCACGGCGCGGATATTGTCGCCGTCTTCCAGTGCCTGGCTCAGCTTCTTTATGTAAATGGCATTGACAGCCTCGCCTCTCCCGTAGCCGTCCGCGGAGGCATCGAAGCTCCGGCTAATGCCCCTTGGCGAGAGAACACCCTGGTCACTAAGAGCCAAGGCCATGGTCGGGGAGAATATTAGGCTGGTGCCGCAGATCAGGGCATTATCACACTCGCCGTTTCGAATTGCTTGACAAGCCAGGTCCAACCCGACTAGAGAGGATGAGCATGCCGTCTTTATTGTCATACTGCATTCATGCATTAGCTGCAGCTCCCTTCGCATCCAAACGGACGCCGATTGAGGTTTCGTACCTTGGGCCGCGTAAGTCGTATTCGTACGAGATTCTGTTGGCCAGAACAAAGTCTCCATAGCCGGTGGCTCGATACCCGCCTCTATGTTGTGTCTCCTTGGCGTTGAGATCCTGCCAATCTTCGGCAAACACACCGACGTAGCAGCCCGTGTTTCCTCCGCGCCAGTTGGTTGCGCCAGCATCCTCCATGCACTCGTATGTCACCTCGAGAAGTTGTCGCTGTTGAGGGTCGAGGCGTTCTAGTTCTGTCTTGGATAGGGAGAAGAAGGATGTGTCGAACTGCTGGATGTCCACGTCGTCCAGATAGTAGCCTTGTCGCATGCGGAGCGTGCCAGTCGCTCCATCCGGGTCGTGGAATGCGTCAATGTTGAACCTGTCTTTCGGAACGGCACAAAGTCCACTCTTCTTCTCGGTGAGAAGTTCCCAGAAGTCGGTGCCGTTTCTGACCTTCCCTGGCAGCCGCATGGCCATGCCAACAACCGCCATAGGCTCTGATGATGATGATGATGAGGTCTCATAGTTCTCTGCGGACGTGAATGACGTAGCATCAGTCTCGGATACTAGTTTGACGGAGGACTGGTGACTGGCGCTCGGCGGCAGGCTCGCCTCCACATGAGGGCTGTCTCCGACGTTGGCCATGGTGAAGGTTGGGCTGCAGTTACAAGGTCCAAAATCCAACGAATGGAGTTGGGGAGATGAACAGAAGCCTTCAGGATAATTTTAGTTCCGACAGAAGACGACCGAAATCGACTGTCATGTACAGATGTCGGTTCACAATCCCATTGAAAAAGCTCAGATGGCTACAGGCTAGTCTTGGTAATGGTCTTCAGCTCCCCGACACTAATGACAACTGCCCGGGACTTGACTCCCCTAGACTAGTGGAGATACTAAGTGCATGTACGATACTAACCGTAGGGGCTCATCAACCTCAGTAGATTCAGGTGCCTATCCACGACCAGCCAGCAAGATCATCAATGTGTTCACGTCATGAGTCTGTAAGGTTCCAGTCACTATCAGCTTCCGACTAATAACGCCTTGGTTGTTGTGGCTCCCTCAAACTTTGACCGGCTGTATGTATGAGATCCTTTTCAAGATGCACATTCTCTGTGTGGTTTGAATATCCTAGGAGACAGTCAACAAGTCGATGACATTGTTGCGCTGTGAAACCAACCCAGTGTCAATTGCACTGTGCTGAACGGGCATCCATTCTGGTATTCCTCTGATGCCAAGATTGGAGGGCCTAAATGAGCAAGGCATGACAGGCCAAATGCGATGCACGATGAGTGTACATCTATGTGTACATGGTGCCTGTTTCAACACGCAAGTATCTCACCTCATCCGTGGAAGCTGAGTCAGGGGCTTACTGTACGCAATAACGGCATATCATTGGCTGTCACAAAGCACTTCAGGGGTTAAGTCTCCACAGTACGTAAACATGTTCGACATGTAGATAGGCATGACACTCAAATGTTTCTTTGACACACTCGCATATCCTAGTTCCTCGGCAATCCACAATGTACATACTTGCATACTGTTTCTTCCACCAACATACACGGTAGTCATGGGCGCTAGGTGCGTGGCCATGGTCGATCGATCCCGCCAATACCTTGTAGCAGCTTTGGTTACCCTATGTTGAACCACGCTATACTCACTATCCACACAGTGAGTCCAACAATAATGTAGAAAGACTCTTCGGGCTTGAAGAAGTTTCCAGTTTGCCCGCCACGTATCCCAGGTGTCCAGCAATGGGTACAATGACAACAATATATTGCTAGCGTTGTGTGTTTCTATAATTTGCAATAAGATAGGTTTCACTCCGAAACGCTTCCACATGTAAACCACCTACGCAGACCATTCTATTTAACTACCCAAATTATTTTTCTCAAATCTTCCGAGGACGCAGGCACACCGTAGGACCATCCTTCCAAGCCGTCAGGTGGTCTTTCAACGAATATTCCGAAGCCTCAAGATCTTGCTCCGCCCAATCCTCCCTGTGGCCCGCTCGTTTGAGGTCAAAATCCAGTAACAATCGGGCAAAGACGAGCATGATATTGGCAATGGCCAACGGCTTGCCAACACAGCTTCGCGGACCGACCGAGAAAGGCATATAGGGGTTTTTAGCCGCATCCTGTTGGACGGCCTCGACACCCTTTGGACGATACCATCGCATGGGGTCGAAACGGAACGGTTGTGCGTAGTACGCCTCGCTGTGATGGATGCAGTAGATGCCGACGGCGACTTCGCACTTGTGCGGGATGAAGTGACCGTCGATGGTCGCTCCACCCTCTTCAACCTCCCGCCACAGCGCTGCGCCTCCGGGTGGTGAAAGTCGGAGAGATTCGTCGACGCAGGCGCGTAGATAGGCGCATGAGTTCAGCTTGGCGCCCAAGGTAATCTCCTCGGCGGAGCTGAACGTGGACCGGACCTCTTCGGCGGCTCTCTTGTAGCAGCGCGAAGACCCCGTGAGATAATGTGCCAAGGCAGCCATGCTCGTGGACGACGTGTCGGCACCTGCGAGAGGTGTTAGCTCCAAATGTCTCGTAGGCTATACCGAAGACTCATACCGGCGACGATAAATGTAGCAGTCTCGGTGCTCAGCTCGGCCGTGCTGAGCTCCTTGCCTGTCAAAGGGTCCTTGCAGTCTTGCAAGAACGCGAAAATGTCTTTAGAGGCCGACTTTCTGCCTCCTAGACGCTTTGACATGAGCAGTCGAATGAACTGGACGAACCTCCTTCGGCCCAGAATGGCTTGCGGGAACAGTTTCCGGTCCAGGTCGCCAAAGCTGAGGCCCGGCTCTTGTAGAAGAACCCCTAGACGCACATTGGAGTGCTCAATGGCTTCCATGGCGTAGCGGTATTCAGGATTCGCGATGGTGTCGAAATCAATGTCAAATGACACCGATGTCATAATGTCGAACGCCAGGTTGTTGACTGCGAAATGCACTGTCAGCACCTTGAACCTGCATACTAGCTGCGCGCCGCGCCTCGGTGTCTCCAGCAGTTATCAATAACGTACAGGCATGCGACATGTCAAGGGGGGCCGTCCAAGCACCGTCTGGCCCTCCCTGTGCGTGGAGAACGTGGCAGAACTGGTCGAGCTTGGACTGAATCTTGGGCTCGAGCATGCGAAGACTGCTCTCGGAAAAGGCCTGGCTGATGACGCGACGTCGGCGCCCGTGGAGGTATTTGTCCTGGAGCGTTAAGAGATTCGCAGCCTGCTTGGAAAGAACATGGTAGTTGCTGAACTTGATCACCTTGCCGCGGTGCCCATAAATATCTAGAAATGTAAGGATTTTGCTCGCTACACGCGCGTTTGGGCATGAGGAATACTCACCGCGAAGGGCTGGTTCCGTGTTGAAGATGAGGCGGTTCGGCGCGTACCGAACATGGTCTCCTAGATAATGTTAGGCCATGCGCACAGGGGCTTCTGCGATACACTTTCCATAGATCTTGTGGCATTCATAAATGTCCTTATGTATGTCTCCCTTCCAAGCGTGGTACGCTGAGTATAGAGTGGTGAACTTGGCGAGAAAGGGACCCGGGTATCGGGCCAAGGGGTGGAAGAATCCCAAGTACACGCATCTTCCAACAATCTGTTACTTCTCTTTGAGTATGTCGATTATATTGCCTGGAGACAGACTACTCACTGTGACAAGCACCAGTGCGCTGAAGGCGAAGAAAAGATAGCCCACCGTGCCTGTGGCGTGCCGTATGCCGTCTTGCCAGTCGACGAGCCTCATCTTTCTCTGCAGGGATTCACCTCAAGCTCTGAGGAAGCTCTGCGCAGTTGGTGGACTCTTTCTTCTAGCTCTAAGTGGAAAAAATTGCGACAGTTGGATTCTTTTATGGGAGGATTAAAGAGCTCTCATCATTTTTGGCGCTCCCAGCACTCCCTATGCCCAAAGGATTGACAGTATAAGAGTCGCCCTTGGGGTCTGCATGAGCGGGCGACTCTGGGGCGTGTTTTGGCAGAAGCTATTACTACTTCTTACGCACTCGTAAGCACTAGACTAGACTATAGCTGTTTCTGTCTGACTAAGAGTGCTATGATAGCAAATGGCCTTGTAGGGTACCCGGTTTTCCCGTCAAGCTCACGCTTCTGCGCCGGCATATTGAGCTCAATCGTCCTCCTCTGAGTCGATTGTGTATACCTCCACATTTTGTGTGGCGGGAACCTTTGATTCCACGTGCACGTCCTGCAGTGTGATACTCTCCTTGGCCTTGTCTTTGAGCACGGACCGTAGAATCTTACCACTGAACGTCTTAGGGAGAGCATCAAGAAACTCGATGCCACCGGCAAGGCGCTTGTGGCTGTGGAACGCCTCGTCCATCTTCTCATGGAGGCTACGGCGCACCTCATCGTCGGACAAGGCCTTGCCCTCGGACGATTTTACAACGTACGCCCGCGGCAGCTCGCCGGCAAACTCGTCGGGTACAGGTACGACTGATACTTCGGCCACAGGGGCCTGCTGAAGAAGGAAGGCTTCCAGCTCGGCGGGTGCTACCTGCATTCCCTAGAAGAACTGTCAGGACGCTCGGTCTCAGGGGCTTCGGACACGAGGCGCACTTACATGGACCTTGATCAGTTCCTTTAGGCGATCTACGATGAAGAGGTGCTTATGGCCTTGTGGGCTCTTCTTCACCGCCACCAGATCGCCTGTCGCGAGCCATCCATCGTCTCTTAGCATCTCCGTGCTCGTGGCGTCGCTGGTGAAGTATGCCGGTGAGATGTTGGGGCCGCGCAGCAGTAGTTCGCCCGGCTCGTCGGGGCCGTCGACCTCTCGCCCATCGGTCGTCACCAGACGTCCCTGCATTCCCGGCATGAGATAGCCGCAGGAACCGAACATGACATCTTCCCGGCTCGTCGCGGCCACGATGCACGTAGTCTCCGTCATTCCGTACCCCTGAATCATGGCACAGCCCGGGAGCAGCGTCTCGAATCTGGACAGGGCCTCCTTGCTCAGGGATGCTGATCCGACGAGGACGCTTCGGACGCTGCTTAGATCGAACTTTTGGACGTACGCGGGAGAATGGTTCATGGCCGCAATCAAGGGCGGGATCTGGACACGCGATCAGTCCTGATGCAGTAAAACGCTTCGGGAGCCGTCATTCATTCTGCGGCATAGACTCACCAGCCAGAGTCTGCTGATCTGAAAATCCTGCGTGGCTTGCAGGATGTCCCCCATATCAATGGAGGGGAGAATGACGGTACTGTGCCCGGCATACACGCCCATTTGCGCCGTTGCGATCAGGGCAAAAGCATGGCTGAGAGGAAGGACGCCCAGCGAGACTTCGGCCTTGCTCTTTGTAGCGCCGTCCCTCTCGAACGTGACGAACTGGAGAATGTTGGCAATGACATTTCGGTGCGTCAACTTAACCAGCTTCTGCAGGAGGAAGGAATGTCAGTGTTGGCTTCCATGAAGACGTGAAATATTACTGGAAAACCCGATGTGCCACTCGAGCTGCACAAAAAGGCCGTTTGACGAGCCCCCTGACCTGGTGTAAAGCTGTTTCTGGCGAGAGGAGGCAGCTCTTCGCCCTCTTCTATGGCCTTGTCAACGGTTTTGAGGTCGGGTGGGATCTCGACGCCCTTGGCGGCCTTTGGAGGCACTTGGAGTACGTAGACGTGCGAGATGGGCAGCCCGACCAATGCTGCCGCCGCCAACGCCGACTCGATGAGCGGAGCGCTGGTGAAGAGAAGCTTGGCCTTGGTATTTCTGAGCTGATCGGCAACCTGCTGGGTACTGTATGTGGGACTGATGGGACACGCGACGCCGGAGAGTCGATGGACGGCCCAGGACGCTGTGAGGGTGTCGATCTACCGAGGACCAGCAGTCAGTTGAGTTATGCACTGGGCATTGCGAAGCTTTGCTTACGCTGTTGAGGGCGAAGAAGGCAGCAACTCTGTCCATTTCATCCACATTGTCTAAGCTGCCACCCCATTGCAAATCGGCGGCGAGGGTACGGGCCAGGGCCTCGACACGCTGCTCCACCTGCGCCACCGAGTAGGACGTGCCTGTGATACCGCATATAAATGGCGGACGGGACTCCTCGAGGGGATGCCTTCCATACTGCTCGCTGACTTGGCCGAGGAGGAAATCGTGGATCGGCACAGAGTCAGGGGGTGCAAAGGGGAGTTGCGCTACCGTAGCAGGGGGGTCGAGAATCATGTTGATTTGTACATGTATGATGCAGACGCGAAGGATTCAAAGGGACTAGGCAAAGTCTCCAAGGCCTTTGACGGTTCTTGCTTGATATACACGCGCTACGGAGTATATGAGCAATGGTACGGATAACCCAGTGCGAGCAAGACGCTCTCCCTGATGTGGTCTTGTGGATTTGCATGCACGTGCTTGTACACATACGCCCCAACTTGCCACGCGAGACTGCGCAATGCCAAGAAGGCGTCGTCGTCCCCACGTCTTCACGAAAGCAGACCATTACTCATGCGGAGCAGCTTGCAAGAGGAACAGAACTCCAAAATTCCTAGATACCAGAGGGGCGGACTCGGTGAACAAGCAATTTGATTGAGACGCCGTAAGGTTCTGCGTCCTGTCTTATCCGGGATTTTTATGCTTGTCCAAAGGAGCTTGTTATTGTCAAATCCCCACAAACTCTGCTCGAACATGGACCTCTTGGCGTGTATACGGATCAGGGATATCACGTAATAATGCTGCTTGTTGTGTTACTCCTCTCACACTCGCTCCCACAATTCATTCATTCCTTGTTACAGATTGAGTTGAAATTCAGTCTAGGTAACTAATATTTAGCATTTTTAGAGATCTTAGATACCATGTATCTAATGAATAATCGGTGTATGTTTTCGTGTTGTCCCATAGTATAGGGTAGCCGACATCTAAGAAGGGTGGGACCAAAATCAGGCCGTAGATGGAGGAACTGCCAACGCTGGCCTTGTTTCAACTTCCCCCCCACCACATCACATCACCTGCATCCAGTCCTGCGCACGACCCCTACCATCAACAAACGGCACGACGTGGCTGACATGCAGGCAGCTGCGTCTGTTGTCGCGATGGCAGGGGTCTATGCTTTCATGTTCCGAGCTCCTCGTTGACCCTTCGCTCTCGTGTCTCGCTTCACCTCCCCCTCTGCACCTGTGTTCGGTGTACTGGACAAGATGCACCATATGCGCGCCCTTGTGAGCGCTGTCCACCGCCCAATGCGTGTGGCGCTGGGACAGCCTCCAACTTGTTTGCGTCTGGCAACTCTGGCAGCGCGGCAGACCCCCATCGCAGCCCGCCTCCCGTTGGGCGCCTTGCCCCTCCCTCTCGTTTTCCGTTGGTTCGCGAAGCCCATGCTCCTCAGCCAGCTTCGATACCGAGGCGTAGCGACAGATGCGCGCGCCGACGCCGCACCAGCAGCGGACAGCTCCCAAGCAGGCGCCGGACCAGAGCCGCCCAAGAAGAAGCGATCCCGGGCGGTGGAGTTTGTGGAGGCGACGAAACGGCTGCGGTGGTACTGGAAGGTGCTTATCGTCCTCTTTGAGCTTACCATCATCGAGTACCTGGCCGACAAGTTCTTCCTCGGCGGCACCGAGTATCGTACCGTCGTCGCCTGTGGGACACTGGGCCGCATCGCTCTCGATTACAAGCTGCACTATGGCCCGGCCTCGTGGCTCTCGCGCCACGACGACGAGGACCTGCACCAGCGCAACGCGCAGCGTCTTTGCACCATGATGAAGTACAACGGCGGCCTCTACCTCAAGGGTGGCCAGGCGCTGGCCATGCAGGGGAGCATCCTCCCCCGCGAGTACCAGCTCCTGTTTGGCGAAATGTTTGACGACGCCCCGGCCGCGTCCTGGTCTGAGATCCGCAAGGTGATCGAGGCGGACTTTGGCGGGCGCAGCGTCGAGGACGTGTTTGGGGACGGCGCATTGGCCCGCTTCGAGCAGGAGCCGCGCGCTGCGGCCTCTATCGCCCAGGTTCACTACGCCCGCCTCGCCGATGGCACGCCTGTCGCTGTCAAGGTCCAGAGGAAGAACATTGCCAAAGAGATCAAGTGGGACCTGTGGGTTTCGAAGCTCATGTTCGACTACACGGCGTGGTCCACCGGGTTGCCCATGGCCAAGGTGGGCGAGTTCCTGGAGAGGTGCATCTTGCCCGAGATCGATTTCGTGCACGAGGCTGAGAACGCCGACAAGCTGGCCCGCCTGGTCGCCGACGACGAGAGCTTGCGGGGGCGCGTCCATGTCCCCAAGGTCTTCCACGAGCTGTCCTCGGATAGGGTGCTCACGACAGAATGGATAGACGGCACGCAGCTATGGGACAAGGACGTCATCCAAGCACCGGCGCCCCGTCCGGGCATGACCAAGGGCGAGCGTACCGGTCTCGGGCTGCGTCTCAGCGATACCATGGAGACGGTGCTGGAGGTCTTTGCCAAGCAGTTCTTCACCTGGGGCTTCGTCCACTGCGATCCGCACCCGGGCAACATCCTCGTTCGACAGCACCCCAAGGATCCCAGCAAGCCTCAGGTCGTTCTTCTGGACCACGGCCTATACGTCACCATGTCCCCGAGCTTCAGGTCCCAGTACGCTCGGTTCTGGAAGGCCCTCGTAACGGACGACGATGCGCTGCTGGCACAGGTGGCGCAGGAATGGGGCATGGAAAGCCCCGAGGCATGGGCCGACGCCACTCTGATGCGACCCTTCAAGGAGAAGCCGAATGCGCAAGGACAACCGTTTAACCGCCAGGCCGAGACGTCGGAGGAGCGTCAGCAGCGCATGATCGAGGAGGCACGGGCCTATCTGGGAGACGAGGACGTCTTCCCGCGGGAGATGCTGCTTCTGGAGCGGGCCATCACCATCCTCCAGGGGAATAATAGGTTTCTGGGGTCGCCCGTCAACCGTATCAAGCTCCTTGGCAAGCACGCCGTGCTCGCCGTCCGGGAAGGCGGTTTCGGAGAGGCCACCACGGCGGACGCCCTCCGCACCCGTGTGGCTCTGTGCAAGCTGGACCTGGCCTTCTGGTGGAGTCGTGTGCGGCAATACTTTGGGTATGGGTCTGGGTTCGAGGAGGAGATCAAGGAGGCGGAGGAGAGGCAGATGCGCGAGACCAAGGACGTCATTGCTGAGCTCCTGGGCATCGTCGTGGACTAAATTTGACTAGCGTTCACCAAGCATCTACGTTCATGTCCTAAACGACAATTGTGCTTCCGGGGCCACCCTTTCCAACGACGCCTAGAGGCTGAATAAGACACAGCTATTGTAGAATTAGGGGGGGGGGGGGGGGGGGGGACAATTTTGTGGTAAAAAAAATTTAATGGTTGTTGGAACAGAAAATTGGCAGGGGAAAGGCCGTACAAATCTTTGCACCCAACCCGTCCAGCGGAA